GAAAACCTGAGCGCTGGATGCACACTGTTAAACTTCCTTACCATGGTGTCAGCGTCAGCGTTGGAGTCTATCAGACAGAAGATATCATCTACACATCGACCGTAAAATGCAAGGTCATTGATGGTGTCTCTTAGGCTCGTTCTCTCGATCTTGCCCATAAAGACATTTGCGAGAAACGGGCCAAGTGGTGAGCCCATCGCCACTCCATCTATCTGTTTGTAGAAGCTGCCGTTGCAGAGAAATTGCACATTTTGTGTGCACCTCGTGAGTTACACACTTCCGAAGGAATATGTTTTGTACCAAGATGCTTTTTACGTACATCTTACACAAATGTGATGGACTAGTCTTTTAACTTGTGAATGTATTTAGAAGTAAATACCTTATAAAAGCTATTGCCTCTGATGGAGATTTATAAAGCACAGGGGAATACAAATTTGGTCCAGCATTCACATTATTTTCTTGTGAAAATAATAATTTTACAAAATATACTAGTCATTAATCAGACCAATAAACATATCATATTTGTTGATTATGTAAATATGAAGCCATTTCAGTGAAGTCGTTGATAACCTCAATATTTAAGGTAACTCTTCAAAAATATATCGCTTAAATGTGTAAAAAGGGCTCATTTCTTTTTGCGGCACACGTTCTTTGTGGCAAAATTGCTGCCCTGCCAAGAAAAAAATAAACCCTTTACAAATGCTCGCAAATGCATCAATGATACAAAATATATAGAGGAATGACAGTTTAGAAAATTACTGATCTCGTGTTACAAAGAAAGATGCGTACGTTTATGATGACGCTACATTTTTTGAAGTCAGGGACATTCAATTGCTTGTCTAACGGCCACTATGTCCCATATATGCACGGCGTATTACATTCCAGCGCAGTCGGGTAATTAAACGATTATGGAATCCAAATTATCTTGTTGTGATGGGAGGGATCGTTACTAACCATCGCCACCCTTGCCGTTGACGCTGCGAATTTGGTGCAACTATTAATATGATCATAATTAAAAACCCGCGTTCGACGAAGAGCCACCCGAGGTATGGTCAAAAAGTTCGCAATATGCAGCTGTACTATTTACGAGTGTGGCAATACTCCACATTCCTGGCCTGTGGATATGTTCACCCTACCAACGTCTTCAGTAGGAAAGGATAGTCGGCCGCAAGCTAGTCTATTCGGGATTAACCTTGCTGCATGGTCTCAACTGTAAATATGTTGAAGTCTTCCAGCACCGACAGTTTGTTAGAATGGGTGAAACACTTAAAACGTTGCGGGAATAAATTCATTTTTGATGCAAGGAAGCGACCATTGAAAGTTCAGGCTAAAGTTATCTTAGGATGAAAAATGCTTAAATTATTCTCCTACCACTGTCTGTAATCATACTATAGGAACACATTAATGATTGTAGCATTTGCGCAAAATCATGATATATATAAAGTATAGCGGTCACAACGTATTTCACAGTTTTATATTTGTTAGAGGCGTTTGGCATATTTGCTTAATTCAGTTGAACCAATTGTGAAAAATTCGCGGCCTCGGTGGGAGCCTTATATTTTGCTTCCATATTTATCAGTTGATTAATTAAGCGGAAAGTATTTGTGTCAAGATACTATTTTGATATTTTGGTGACACATTAGGCGACGGTGGCGTCTCCTTAGTCAAACTGCTGACTTCTTGTTCTGGCTGACCGTTCCATAATAGAATCTTCCGGACAGCTAGAAAAAATATTCCTCGGCTACTGCTTGGCGAACGTTAAGAGCTTGTAATGTTAACGTAACATAGTTTGAGTCAAAACTAAATACTTATGTGTACAGTATTGCACGACTTGTGTGCAATTTTCACGACGAAATTTAGCTTGGTTATTTAGCATGTATTTTGAAAGTTGATTTTGATCAACTGAGTAAAAGTCATAATTCGACAGGCTTTAGTTTGTAAAAAACTGCTTAGTTAGTTAAGGTTATGAAGGAAATTAGGCACTATTTTGCTAAATCACGAGTAAGTTTATATTGAAAAAGTTTCCTTTGCTATAATGTACGACAGAACAACATATTTTTTATTAATATGCATTGCACTATGGAAGAATTGAAAAGTAGAAGAAATTGAAAAAATTATCCCTTCCAAAACTGGAAAAATTTTTCCAAAGTTGCTCAAATGGAAGTGAAGCCAAATTTATTTTCAGAAACAAGCAGCAACTTAAGCTTTAAAACTTATGTCTAGCTAAACTGTGAAGACTTTTCACAAAAAACACAGCGACAAAAAGTGTCAATGCATTTTGCTTAAACCGCACCACTGACCCTGGCATTTAAGCAAAGTGTCTCCATATGTTAACGCGAGAGTATTGTAATGAACGCCTCATTGAAGGTACTTCATGTAGAAATATACTTTTTCGTAACCTATATGTTCCGCTTATAATTTATGTAGACACGGTAGGGACAGAAGAATAATAAGTATTTCGGAAAAATTGCCAAGTATATGGCCAGTCACTTTTGCATTCGCAAGCTTAAAACAGATGGTGGCATTAATCCACTTATGCGAAAAGTAATCCATTATGAAGAGTAAAGTAAGCTGTTTCATTTCCAATCCAACTGAGTCGTTCATCTTCAGATATATTAAAAAAAATTGTCAAAAGTCTCAAATTTTCTTGTGACATTATTTAGGAAAAAGTTCATATACACAGCAATTCTTCAGTTGAACATCTAATAAGAGGACCTATTTAAGAGGTGGCCTATTATAGAAATCTTATATATTAATCTTAATAATAACAATATCCGACTTATCTTGCAGATGCTTTGTATACACGACAATACGGTTTGCTCTTTTAAGGCTTTTCGAAATATGATCCAAATGGCCATCTTCATAAGAACTTATATCCAAAAGCTCGTTTCTTTCGGTAAATACTCTTAATATTTATCTCCTTTTAAAGATTTTTACGTATATGTCAAACGGAAGCACACTTTATCAACTTTCCAATGAAGACCGTGAAAACGGGCAAAATGCTGGCACACTTTATTCCTCGGTATTTCGTTAATATCTATCTACTAATGGTAATATGTACACAGTATTTTTACTAAAGAAATGTTCCTTTTATATAAATAAAGTGGTTGCTTTAAGTTTTCAAATTAACAAAATATTTAAACTTATTCCAACCTACAGCTATTTGCTACACCTCCAGAACTTGGGGATAATTGGGGAAATTTTATTTTTCATAACAAACACTCAAGTCTTTTTATATTTCTTTTAAGCTTTACATTTGTCTAATGTTGCTAATTATTATTTCTTATTTTTCGTAAACGGGCTCACGCCGGTATGCGAGTAATGATCAAACTTAAACAAACTTAGGCAAGTTGCATGCAGCACTAGCAGCACCGTATGCTTGGCTTCTCAAAATGTACACGGGATTCGTAATCTATGCTCAGAGCTTGTGAGTGTTTGTTTAGTTAACAGTGAGCGAATTGCCGTCAGTAGACGTACCAGGCAAGCAGTTGGTTGTGAGGAATTAATTGTAGGACCTACAGAGGGAAGCATACAGCACATACTGCCTATTCGATTATATATTTTGCGCTATGCTTATGTAAATCTCATTTTAATTGAGTAATAAATAAATTGAATTCCGTTTACTTGATAGATATCTACGATATTTTAAAAAGTTGTCATAATCACCACAGCTTAAAGTTCTGACGTCATTTTCAACCTGCACAGCAGAAGCGGTTACTTGATGTGGATTATAGTGAGAGTAAATTTGTGCTGCATCTACATCGACCTCTCCCATCTTCTTCTCTTGGTCCGCTGTCAAGATAAAGTAGAGAATGCTGGGGATGAGAGAGGGCATAGAAACACGCACTGAAGACCATCACAACTAGGACACCACAGCAAATTTGGACGTGGCTTGCATGTCATCTCAGTGTGAGTGCTATAAAGACCACATTTAGATGGAGTTATTGCAGCCCTTTGTCTAGGTTTTCCAGTCTGCCACTCCAAATACATTGGGCTGACAGGGCGGTCCCAGTTATCTTGTCAGTTGGCAACCCTAAGAACACGACTTTACTATAACGCGAGAACTCCAATCGAGTCAGAATTACTATGGTGAAGAAAGTGCAATAAGTCTCCGACCTCGTTTGCTCCTTTTAATACAGCATTAGGCCACTATTACAGCTGGTAAATTATCTGGCCTTTTAGGTATGGTGGATGTCACAACGGCGTCCCTTTATCTACCAATCCCAGCCCCGTTGTCGATTCGCCTGCGCACACCATTCACCATGGGCAGCCGTTAGCGTCAGCCACGGAGCATATCGTCGCGTGGGGCATAACTCTTATTGTCATTGACTGCTCTTCCAACAAAATCCGCGAATTTATTTCAACTATACACTCGAGCACGCCATACACCAACAAGCACATCAAACTGGACTTTTTCGTACAAACGTCTGAAACAGAATTGAGCGAGGTGATATTAAATCTGAGCGGGTTGAGACTCATGGAAACAGCCTACTGGCGCAAGCGGTACGTTATTATCGAGTATTTCATGCACTTGCAATGTGAACTGCCTTGACACTTTTACTATATCCTGAAGTAAACCCTGAGCAGCCACTGATGTGACTGCTAGAATGGGCGCGGAATTAGTTAAGAGGTAGTTTTCTATGCTCCTGTGTACAATCTATGTGGGTGCTAGCAGCGCAACATGTTTCGTTGTATAAATATTCTTCGAGAGCATCCACGCGCCAAGCTTGGTTTCCACAAAGATTAATGTTTTATCTCCGAGATCGGACTATGTGAGAAGACCTACCAAAACCCACCATTTCCGATGAACTGAAACATAAGGCAGTTGCTGTATGCTGTTTATACTCGTACTTCCAACAATTGCAACAGCCATGAACAAATAGTCACTTAGAAAATCATTGGCAAGCACCTTAATCTCCTTGGAAATGTGGCAAAGAAAAATGGTACTTGTCAAGTGCCACAGGGAGGCCTTGCGTCGCACTGTACTACCTTTGCGGATTTGCGGCTCAGGGCCCATATCCGCCATTCTGTCGGCTTCGGCTACTTCCAGAAACATGATATGGTTTAAGTCAATGAGGTCTCGATCCATAAAATCAAATAAGTGGTCTGGATCGGCAACGAGCAAGCCTTTGATATCGTGAGAGAGCTGTTGAAGCTGCTTCCGCATATGAACAACACGGAGCACGGGATCGACAGACAATTTTCAGATTCCTCATAGATTTTCTTAGCTATTTTTCTCATACGAGCGCAAATGAATATTGCTTTCGTCTATTTGTTTCGTACGGTGTAATAATTCAATGTTCAGGACCATGTTTGTACATGCTGTTACAGACGGCCTACGAAAGGCGGTCTTGTTTCCTGATGCCCTTTGATCGCATGCCAATATATCTGCCTGAACTTTGGTATGTTAGGCCTCACACATGCTTTATTATTTATTAAGCAGGGAGTATGTTAAATGAGATTAAGGTTACCTTACGATGCAATATATTGTACTTAAACCGTGTACTGGAATAAAAACGGTCCGAAGAATCCACCATACACAAATAATGTACCATAACATGCCTATTTAAACAATTTACGCAGGTAACCTGCCGTTTTCCATTCATAGATAAGTACAAGGAAGATGTACATAAAAATGTGTCAGAAGCAACTGAACGTATCTTTGCCGAACTCGGTGTGGGTATTGCGCATCGTCCGACAGCTACCATACATCCACCGGCCATACAAATAAAAGACCCACTGGATGTAGGTGAGCCGTCAGGTGTCGTTTTTCAAGGGTCATGTCACGACTGTTCTTACGACTATACACGGTAGACTGAGCAACGACTTACCTTGAGAATAACAGGGCACAAATTGGCAGTGCGGAAAGGCGACCCACTGTCCCACATAGCTACCCACAATCTGGAAGAGTGCACGAATTCGAATTCACGGGCAAGTATATATTAGCACGCGCCGCTAATAAGACGGGGCGGAAACT